CCCCCCCCCCCCCCTTTTTTTTTTTTTTCTGGCGCCTTGTGCATAGGAGGAGGGTGACGGCGAAGGCAAGCCGTGGGGGGAGGGCGCGGGAGAGGAAAAGCTACCGCGGGCGAGGGAAAAGGACTACCAGGAGGTGGAAGACGTGCTCCTCAAGGGCATGAGGGTCAGGCGCCCCCCGGATGTCAAGGCGAGTTCGCGAGGGTCGACCAGGCTTATTTTTTTGCTGTTGTTGTTTTTCGTTGGCACACACTTCGACATTGTGGTGGACGGCGTGCAGCTCACGGAGGCGACGGCTGAGCTTCCCCCCAATGTCAAGGCGATTCCGCGAGTCGAACACTTCACCTCGGGTTTTGGTGGGCGCTGCCACGAGGTGCACAGCGCCCCCGTATCGATGTTAGCGCTCCGGCAGCGGGTTTGCTTGTGTCGAGCTTTTGCCTGTTTGTGTCGGCGAAGGAAAAACCTGCCGGTAGACGCGGTGTTGCTCCGCAAACGTTGGCCAGTAAATACCAAGGAATCCCCAGGTTTACCTGCTTTCCTGCCAGCCTTGGTCAAAGACGTTGGAGGGTAGAGCAGCTCCTTACACTTTTTCCTCGCTAATGAGTTGTAGGGATATTGATCACCGCATCGGCTTGCCTTCACTCGTTAGAGTTTTGTGAGGATACCAACGGAATGGATGCATCCAGCGGGCGTCCGTTGCTTTCCCGAACCAACCTTTGCCATCAGCACCACTTTCTCCGTCATCCCCCCTCCTTTTCTTTTTTTGCTGCACTGCTCTTTCTCTGTTGAAAACAATATCCCGAACAAACCTCTACCATCAACACCACCTTCTCCGTCACCCCCCCTCTCTTCTCTTTTTTACTGCGTTGCCCTTTCTCTCTTCTAGACAAGAAGAGACTTACCATCAACACCATCTCCCCCTCCCCCCCCGCTGCACTGCTCTTTCTCTGTTGAAAACAATATCCCGAACAAACCTCTACCATCAACACCACCTTCTCCGTCACCCCCCCTCTCTTCTCTTTTTTACTGCGTTGCCCTTTCTCTCTTCTAGACAAGAAGAGACTTACCATCAACACCATCTCCCCCTCCCCCCCCGCTGCACTGCTCTTTCTCTGTTGAAAACAATATCCCGAACAAACCTCTACCATCAACACCACCTTCTCCGTCACCCCCCCTCTCTTCTCCTTTTTACTGCGTTGCCCTTTCTCTCTTCTAGACAAGAAGAGACTTACCATCAACACCATCTCCCCCTCCCNCTTCAGGACATGGAGGAAGAGCAAGCGACAAGAGAGAGGAAGGAGCAGCTCCTGCGGAGAGCCGCTCTCGTGGCCGAGCTTCACCCTGACACCGCCCGCCAGATTGAGCTACAGATGGAGGAAGAAGGGAGCAGGACGGTGAGACAGACAGACCCTCCTCCTTTGCAGTTTTACTCCTTGCACACCCGTCTTTGTAGAACGCCGGGGCGGGGGGGGGGGGTCGNGGGGGGGGGGGGGGGGGGGGGGGGGGGGGGGGGGGGGGGGGGGGGTCGATGTGTGTATTCTCTGCGAAGGACGTACCTGGCTTTTGCGATCGCACCGGGTGTTCATAAACAAAGCCACAAGACGCCAGCTTGTTGGCATCTGCACTACCATGCTGCGAAATCCAACACTTGTTCTTTCCACCTTTCACGCCTTTCGATTCCGCCACTCCTCCTTGTCTCGGTTTGGTTCCCGCACACACGGGACCCCGTTAGGTGTTCGTGAGACGCCTTCCGTACGGGCTGAGCGCCTACACCGTCAGGGACGCGTTTTCCAGGTTGGTTCAGCAGCCATCCATCGTACCAGGACATCTGCTTGTCGTTGCCGGGCGTCCCTGCTTAAATGCAGGACCCTGTCGAAAGCGAGAAACCATGGTTGTCCCCAAAGTGGCGATTTTGCTCTTGTTTTGGAGGGGCGGGGGAGGGAGGGATGTGCATGCCTTGTGGTTTAACCTATTAGACCTATTAGACCTATTAGACCTATTAGACCTATTAGACCTATTAGACCTATTAGACCTATTAGTGTGTCTGTCGATCATCGCACAACAACGCATCCTCTCGAAAATTTTCGCACCCTTGGGGCTGGCGGAGTAATTACGTTTCGACAGCCGCACGTCTGGTGGGGATTGACGCGTCGTGGTCAACTCCGTATATGTGCGGTCTCCCTTGGAACCTCGACCTCGCCTTTCGGACGTGTTTGTTCCTGCTCGATGTGTCGATCATGGACAGAGCCCACAATCAATTCTTCTCCTTCATGCACCCCCGCGTATATGCATACAGCAGTGGTGCCTCCGATATAACGGGGTGGAGTGGCGAAGGCCCTCCACCCTGATGTATCGGAGCCTCCCCTTACACCGGAATACGAGAGTACTCCAGTTTACTTTTCAGGGTCAAGTGCGTGATAACCGATTTGGACGCTCTTATATCGAAGCCCCCTTCTTCTGAGGTACCTTGTTATGACGGAGGCGCGAGTGCTGTACACGAATAATTGAAAATGATATGGAAGCTGGGTGCCGTCCGGGGTGCGCAGCACGTAGGTACAGTGGTGGGTGCTGGGCCCGATTTTTGCAACCCCTATAGCTAGTGCGCTTGTTCAGGGCACGTGGCTGTTATTGCCGGTGTTGCGGCTATCTCTTTGCTCGGGGCGAAGTGGTGCCACGAAACGATTTTGTGGCTGCCATGCGTTAAGGATCGAAGGCAACGTACCGCGGGAGGGGCGGGTGACGGGAAGCCATTCTGTATGATCACGGGTTGGAGCACAACGGAACGAGTGCTGTGAGCGCTGATTTTAGTGAAGTGAAGCCAAAAATAAATGTATAAATGCAGGACATGTCCTTGACAGCAGTGGCAAAGCCTCCTTCAGGCGCTGGTGGTCGGGGAACCCCGTTGTGCAGCTGTGTGTTTCACAACGCCTTACGCACCTGTTGATCCACGTTTTCAAGACCGGAGATTTGAGCGACCGCGAATGCTAGTGCTAAAGAGGTGAATGAGTGAACGAATGACTCTGTTTGCTTTCTTCATGGTGTCTTCCATCTACGAAATCTACGAATTGTTCTACATATTCACACGCACACTTTTGCATGCAAGTTATGCCCTTCTTCTCACGTTGGACTATTACCAACAGATGCGGAGATGTGCACCAGGTGATCATCAAGGAGCCCATTTTCAGGGAGGGAGAGGACCCCGTTTCCAGGCCCAACGCGGGCCGCAAGCGAGCCTTCCGTCCCTCTGGCCAGAGCGAACTTGCTTTTAGCACGGCGCACGGTAAGAGGAAACACCCAGCTTCGTCTTGGTAAAGGTACTTCTACGGGTTTCTCCCGCCCCTTCCAATCAACCCACATGGCTGAGAGAGGTACAGCGATGAATCGCATTGGCGAGGGTCAGACTACTGGAAACCCTTGTAGACAAAGGAGAAGGATGGGTTTGTGAGCTTCTATCCGTGTCTGTGGGTTGGGGCGGCGTAGTCCTTATGTCGAACCGTGCAATGCGGAGAAAATGCAGCGCGTCCGGCCTATGTCCCTTGCGTCCGGATTTTCGTTTCTCCGCCCTCCTCTACCGCATGCGCGCACGCATGCATACACTACGGTTGCGAGTACCCTAAAAAGATTCGTACATGCATGCACGGATACTGTTATACACATATATATTTCATCAAGTATGCATTGCTATGTACAGTCCGCACATGCATCCACGGTCCATATCATATTCTCTGCGCTAATTCATCCGTACGTAAGCGTGCGTCTCATTCTCGCGTGCATGGGTACATACATTTTCTAGCACACATCGTTCATTTACGTATAGACGACGCACATAACATACAGATCTTAGCTTCACACATGCATTGATTGATACATTCACGCGCATCGTCAGGCCTGGTGGTATTCAGCGACCACGAGGGGTTCGACAGAGCCACGGGGGAATCCTTCCGCATCTTCGGGGTGCACATCAAGGGGGCGGCTGTCGCTACCAGCCCCGCCCACCAATGCCGCACTCTATTCGTGGAGAACCTGGAGATGAGGACGGGGCTTGAGATGGTGGAGGCCATCAACGAGGTCCTCCAGCCCCGCTACAAGGTGTCTTGTTGTTGTTGTTGTTGTTGTTGTTGTTGTTGTTGTTGTCGTCCGTCGTCCGTTGTGCTTGTTGTGATCGCAACATGCTGCTGTATCGGCTGAGAACGTTTTAGGTTGGTTTGTTCGCGTGTGCGAGGAGAGAGGAGGGGAGAGGAGAGATGCCGAGGCCCATCTTGCTTGTTAACGAATCACCACCAACTTCTGCACGAGCATTTTTTTTTTCCTGATATCGTGTATCTCCCACCCTTGTTCTGCTGGTGCTTGCCTCTCTTGTCCCTTTCTTCGCTCATTCCCTCGCTAGGTTGGCCTGGCATCGCAGTCCCTCGAAAACAACGTCCCGCAGGTACTATTGTCCACGATGCAGTTACTATTTTCCACTATGCAGTTGTTGGGGGTGGTCGTGGCGTCGTGGTTTGACCATGCAGTTGTAGGCTGGGGGCACCGCACCATGTTGGGGCGAGGGGGGGCGTGGGGGGTGTTCTGATACCTTTTTCTGATATCGGCCGGCACGCACTGCGAGCTAGGGTATGGCGCGGGCAACGAATTGGTCACCACCAGAGGGGGCTCAAGGGATGCGTGTTGACGTCAGGGGGCACTGTAAAGTTGATGATTGTTGCTGTTTTTGTGGGCGAGGTGTGCGTCTATGGAGCACCCGCTGCTTGCTTCACTGTGTTGATGGCATAGGGGGGGACGCAGATATGATGTTTGCTGTCGTCTCTGTGAGGATGAGGTACGTGTCTATTTGGGCGCCTGTCTGCTTACTGCTGCTGTAGGGCAGGGGATCTGTGTATACGTATTCTTCTGGAAGCAATTCGTCATCAGTGACTCCGGCCCTGTCCTCCACCAGGTGGTAGCGATACCTCTCCGGAAATACGTGGCTGTGAGAGCGGTAGACAAGATTCTCACCGACGCCGGGTTCATCACGGCCTACCACTACATCGTGCCCAAGGCGAGTGGGGGCCTCCGTGTATCGTAGGCGGGGTGTGATGTGCACATGGTCTGACTTGATGATGATATGGTATTTCACGAAAGGCTGTGGGCTGACAGGCGAGGAGGCGAGATGGGAGGAAAGGGTGTGGGATGGGATGTGGTGTGACGTGAAGATGACATGCTGTAAGTTGTAGATGGCATGGTGTGCTACATGTTGAATGGGATGGGATGGGATGGGATGGGGCTAGGTGCAAAAAGACGAGATGATATGATATGAGATGAGATTGAACGAGATTTGAGGAAATTGGGTTGTGTGGGTTGAGATGGGACGACGAAAACAAATTGTGAGATGAGAGGATTCCACATGATCTGATGGATACAAGTATATTGTGTCGCGTGGATGCATGAGACAGATGAGATGAACAGGGCTCAAAGCAAACGGACGATATTCCATCACCGTGACAGCGCTACACCACACCAACGGACTCCGGTACTTGAAATTGTCCCGTGTTATGGCCAATTGGCATTGTTGCTCACCGCGTTTGAACGAGAGCAACCGGTTGCATGCTCCTTCCACCCACCCTCATGCCCCAGCCAGACCACCTACGCTATTGCACTGCGTTGACTTGTTTGACTGCAAACACCAGAATCGTGTCTAACGCGAAGAAATAGCCCAACCTTCCCCATCGCGCACACGCTGGTTGACCATGCCCCATCGTTCGTGTTCTCCGGCAAGAAACGCCCCCTTGCACACGCCCCCCCTTCCGGTGTTTGCCATCGGGGTTGGGTTTTCGTTGCTTGGCAACGACGTTGTACAACATGCCAATTCACTTCGTGAACTCGGCAACCAGGATACCATTTTTTTTTTGCCTCTGATTTTTTTTGGCGGTAACCATGATGGTGGTCGAGTAGATCATGTTGTGCGGGGTGGAGAACCCTCACTCCGCACAAGGGGGATAATCGCACCACGTTGTGTTAAAATGGTCAAGGACCCTCGAGGCAGTTACACAGGGCTATCAACTGTCTCTGGAAGTGAAAGCACCAGAAAGTAAATTAAGTCATACGCAGCTGTCATCCGTATGCAAGGAAGTAAGCACAACATGCCGAACACCCTTAGCAGGATGCAGCGCACCCTTCATGCGCCTCGCCGAATACCTCTCGGCGTTTCGCGCTTGGTGATGTGAGAGCCTGGTCCGGTGAGAACCCGGCGTGCTCCGTCCCGGCTTTGTAGGGATGCGAGGTCAATGGTCTAACTACACGGTATGCACGACTCCCCCCCCCCCCTTGCACACGTTAGAAACCACAGGTCCGCCAATCACATCCCAGCGAGGACAAGCTGCTCGACACCGGCATGCCAGAGCAGCACATCCCCGACGAGGTATATGTGTCTGTGTTATATTTTTAATAGTCGCCGGGCTAATCGACTAACCAACGAAGAGACGCCAGTCAGTCTTGTAGCGGGAAGAAAAACACGAAGACTATCGTGGCTTCCTGCGGTGTTGTCGCTGCTGTCGCGAGTTGTCGCTTGCTGGCGTGCGACAGCGGTCTACCAAACAGCCCGATGATGTGTGCCATGGGGCCTCTGTTGGGCTGGGTGGGCGTAAGTGACTTGCTTGAACCAGGGCCGTATCTGCCAATTCTTGTGCTGTGGCGTGATTAGTCTTGCTATTATTTCCCTTCCTCTCGCGTCGAGGATGTAATATTTGGCCGTTTGGTGTGTATACACGTAACACGTGGTGAGACGGTGTCGCAGTGTTCACCGCTGTGTTGCATTTAGTGATTGATAAATTGCTCAACACGCCGAACAAGACACAGCAGCAACGACGTCTGTGATCTCAAGTCGCAAGATAGGGCCAAGTCAAGCTCTACGTTGTGTTTAGTGCGACAAATGAGCGAGACTAGGTGGCCCACGGAAGGCAAGAATCGTCGTAAGCTCGAGAATGACCCTGGCCAAGCGTTCATCGTGGCCACCACCCTCAATACAGGAGAGCCGTGAAACGCCTAAAATATTGACATCTACATTCATAACCGCAGGTGGCGGCGCTTTCCGAAGATGGCTTGATGACGGGGGCGTCGGGCGAGCTCGGAAAGGGTGGCATTTCTCTTGAAGACGTGCTCCCGGCGCATCATAGATAGGCAGGCTAGGGTATCGCAGCGTACATTTTATTGTGATGAGCAAGACGAAATTTTACCGACAACGGGGCGAAGTACGCAGATGGCCAGCGAAAGACCTCGCTTGAGGCTATTGTAACTCCCTCCTTTGCCGGCTTCTTGGCTGAGCTCCTGCCCTTGGGCATGGGAACGTGTTAATCGGGATCGAACCACCCGAGGCATGTATCGATCGTTCCGAGAAAGGGTGTGACGTTGTGGGGGGAGGGGTTCTCTCCCGCACATGGCATTGGCCTCGAGTTGCTTGAGTGATAATTTTCTTTCTTGACCTTTCGTACGACGGTGGCCGGTGGTATGCCGAGTTCTGTGCACTCGAATCCCAGCCTCCGCTGCCCACCGTCGTGCGAGAAAATCGACAAGAACTTCGACCCATCACAAACACCTAACGAGCATCGGCGTGACGTCTGAAGGTGCACGAGTGATCGTATTTTCAAAACACGACCGGGCGTTCATCCTTTTTCCTCTCTCGCGTTGTTGTTACTCACAGGCAGCTTACAGGTTGGTCTGAAAAGGTGCTGTTGCCTCCGTTGACACCGGTTACCGTGTGTAAGTCCCGAAGTCTATGTTCTTGTTGGCCCTATCTTTGCTCCCCAGGGAGCAAGATCTTGCTTGGAACAAATCAAGATACGCATCATGCCATCGTTTGTATATACACCTACCCCCCGCCCCTCACAGCAATCCCGTCGTGCTCGATGGCGTGGCCGCACGAGAATGAACGCGTCACAACACACAACAAATGAGTCAGTCGCCACGTTTTTTTAAGACCTGAGGTAGTAAACCGCTCCACGGAACCCAGTCAATTGCCGTCCCTGGCGCTACAGCACAAAAAACACCCACGTGACTCGATCCCGTGGTGTCGGCCGACGTTATGCCGCTCAAGAGAACACACAAGGAACACACATACTCTCAAGTAGATACAGTAGGCGGGCGCGCTCAGTCCCCTCCCCCCCCCTCAATCACGAAAGGGAACAAGCCACAAAAATCACCTCACCATGAACTACCCACACGTCCAAGTTGAGAGCGTGAAAGCTCACAATTGTCCGAGTTTACCCAGCTATATCGAGGCGTGGCCACCAGAGGCGTCGTCTTCGTCTGGCCGAGGCGCCGCCTTCACCGACCAGGGGATGCGTTCTCCCGCGGCGATCTGCTTGCGCAGGCTGCTGAGAGGCAGGCGCCATTTGGTACTGGTATATCCAGCAACAAATGAAGGCCGCCACCATCACCACTTACGCGTGAGCGTGCTTGGACAAAATACCTCCCTTACTTGGCAGGCACAAGCCACTCGTGAGCCTTCTTGGCTAAAGATCTTTCTTACCACAGGCACAAAAGTCACGCGTGAGCCGTCACACTTGCCCGCCACAAGCGCAGCAGGGCTCGGCGGCGGTGCCCCGTCTCTTGGGCAGAGTGCTACCAGTGGTGGGGATCTCGACCGACAAATATACGGCCAAGACCTGGCCAGCTGTGGTAGACGCGATTTTGGAGATGAAAGCCTTGTGTTGAAACTTGGGGTGGTGCAAGGAGAAGGTGGACCGAGCTTCGACAACAGCAGAAACGGGGCGTCTCCGAGGCTTCCGGTGTTGGGCGAGGGGCGGGGGGGGGGGGGGGGGGGGGGGGGTAGGAGCATGCGGCCTAGCCTCGGGACTGCTTGACGAGCCATTGCAAAACCTGGTCAATGTTTATCACCTTTTGTCACGTTCCGTTCAACAGCGGCAGAGCGAGAGAGGAAGGATCGCGAAGTTATGCGTCCAGCTAAAAACATGAACAACTGTATTTGGTTCTGGCTGTCTTGCGCGTGCCACATGGATGGACGACCTCAAAGAAGTGGCACACAATAACAAACTTGAACTACAAAAAAGGAACCATGGACCAATTGTCACAGCGGCAGCGGCGGCAGCGGCAGCGGCAGCAGCACCATCACCATCACCATCACCACCCACCAAAAGCAACATGATTTACCTTGAGCGCAGATATCGGGATAAGAATCCAAGGGTTTGCGGTCACGTAGTCGAGATTCAACTCCCGGATGACCTGGTCCTCGCTCATATGCGGCTCCAGATCAACCTTGTTCGCCAACACCAGCAGCGGCGTAGACGCCAGCTCCTCGTCCTCCAGTAATCGATGCAGTTCTCGTCTGGCGAGCGCCGCCTGGGCAGAGGGGTTTCCAATGGGGGGGGGGAGGGGGGTGGTACTCACGTCAACGCAGGCCGTAACGTGATAAGACCGTTCACCAAGCATCCCTACAATGGGGGGGGGGGAGCGGTATGCCCGGTTTTCACCGACCCAGGCTACGCTTCACAAGGACCTGAAGCTGGTCATCAACACGTTTGATTTTTGGGGGGGGCATGGGTGTAGGCGCATGGTCATGCTGGAGGTGGGTGCGACGAATCAGTAGCGGGACGTCGTCGAGGGGTTGAGCCGGGCAATCACTCTCATTTTAACCAGAGCGAAAGCTATCACTTCGCTCGCGCGGCCCTCGGCGGGGGGGGGGG